ACAAGGAAGCTCTGAGGCTTGAGAAAGAAATGAAGACAGATGGGAAGAATTGGTGTTGCTTAAAAGAATTAAACACTTAACTGGTAAACAGGATTTTGCTAGTGTATTTGTAGGCAGCTGTAAAAAGGAAGATAATGTTCTCTGCTCCTAGCAGATATATTAGACTTGCACTAGAGTAATAGGTTTAGCTAAACATTTCTAATGTTTTTCTGAGCGCCAGACAGGTGTGTATGGGGAATCTCCCTCTGAAGGCCTTTGAGGGCAGCTTGACTATGTCTGTCAGAAGTAGCTTAATTTTTCCTTTTCCTAATATAGTTTGGAACGGTGTGATGGGCTAATAGATTTATGTCCCTACCAAACCTATGGTGTAATTTTTTGTTGTTAAAGATGCTTCTGACGCCAGCAGCCTTGATTGTGAAACAGATACCCCTAATGTAAGATTTGTGTTATGATGTTACAGTTGTCATACGTTCCATGCTCATGGGTGAAACATGATGAAATCCTAAGTGCAGAACACTGGATATTAATAAATCTAGGTTTTGTGATCATTATCCACCTGCCCCTTCCCACCAAAAATGGAAAGCTCTTCCAGTAGAAGTTTACTACTCTTGCTGTTAAGAGGTCCACAAAAAGGAAAACTGTAACTTGTTAGCTGAATTGTGTTGTTGCCCCTGTATCTGTCAGAATTGTACTTATATGGATGCATACAGATGTATGTACAGATGAAACTTAATTACAAAATTGTCTTTAGATTTTTGTCTTCATATGCTAGTAAAGTGCCAGGAGTATTAGGACTTGTACATGACATGAAACAGTGACCACAGGTGCATTATCGTGGCAGATGACAAGTGTGTTGAAAAAGAATGGCCTAATTGAGAAGGTCTTACCATTGACGCTGGTGTATGTTCACTGCTGAACTATTTGCTATGCTATGTGATGCAGCTACTTCTCTGGTAAAATCTGGTGATGGTCGTGGTATATAAGGTTACCTGAGTGAAACCTGATATAGGATGGGTTACTTAGAAGAATAACTAAGTGACCCAGATTTGGACCTTTATGGCAAAGCCAGCTGTCTTCCTTGAGACTTTGTCTGAAGTATCATATGCAAGTCAGACAGTTGTTTGACCTGCAATATGTGAAAGATAGCCTGTATTTACTTCCAGTGTTTAAAAAGCATGGGCATACGTGTTGGTGTTGACGCTAAACTAAACCTTTCTCATCGTCTTTGTCACTTGGAGTAAATGTTTTTTTTTTTTTCCTTAGTTAAAATAGTGCTTGAGGAATGCTTTTTTCCATGTTGTAGTTAGATAGCCAGTTCTGAAATGTGGTAGTTCAGTGTTATATATCTTTAATATTTCTGTATGTCATAGTTTAGCTTTCAAGTGTATATGTAAACTGTAGTCTTATGCATATTGTCAGTCTTCAGTCTTTCCTCTTCAGTGACTTTTTTTAATACACGTACAAGGCAATATCTCTTCTCAGAATTTTGAAATTTAATAGAAATTAGCAGGAGAAACTCTTGTGTTGACAGTCAGTGTGTTCCACACGCTTACTATATGTGATGCATTAAACTTGGTTTTTATTATGTAACATCTGGTGCATTAAAGTTTCAATAATATATTTATCTTCTAGATACAGTTTTTATTCCTTTTTCATGTGGTTTTAATCAACTGAAGGACAGAATGATACTAATAGTCCTAACTGAAATCATAGATACAGTGGGCACTGCTACTAGTGGCCAGCTGGGCCTTGGTTCATTAGCGTGTACAACCGCAGACCAGCGATTGGATCAGACAGAAGAGTAGCTATCTCTCATCTCTTTGAAAAATGGGTTTTCTGTGATCAGTACCTTTAACACAGGCACAGCATGTGCTTAGTGGAATCATTTGTTTTGTTATTTTCTGAAACTCACTAGGGATCAGAAGGAACTGGAGTTAGTGTATCTGTTTCTGTTCATGGCTGGATTTTTTAAACAAAAACTATCACTCTTTAGACTTACAGGGCTGCTGCCTGTTTCAACTTCAGTTCATTAAGCTGGTGTAACCAGATCAACATATGAGCTGGACTTTGACTTGCCACTATTTGTGATACTACTTTTCTCCTGGCAGAACTGGGTAGAATGTGTGTTAGAGATGGTTACTGAGATCGCTTAGAGCTCAAAGGACGCAAAGATGTTAAGGTAGAAATACCTCTTAATCTAAGAAATGAAAATGATGATTTTATGTGCAGAGAAAATAGTATCTAAACTTCAAGAGAATGAAATTGGTTTTGAGATATTATACATCTATATGTTCCACAATTTCTTTATCTGTACCTGGAGTCTTTAGAATACTTTCTGGTGTTTGGGGTAGTTACATTACTGTTTTAAAGCCAAATGCTCAGCTTGTCCGAGGTTAACGAAATTGCTTTCCTCTCCTGCTTCAGCTGTTATGCTTTGATAGGTTTTATTTTCAGTAAATATGAATGATGCAATAAGATATTGATGCTCTTCTGAAACTAGGTAGAACGATAATGGTTTTAATGGCTATCAGTGCTAGTTGAAAATACTTTATTCTTGGGTGTATTATAAACAGGGCTTTTAAGGCATTTCTTGATTTTTAGTTCAAGTCTTGATGTGGCCTTTACCTTTCTGTTGATTCTTACAGTACAAGGAAAGATTATGAGTGAATTTTGTTGAATTGTTTAATTCTGGTAGTTTCCATACCTAGTCTTTGTTTTTAAACTACTTATGAGCTCCAGAATTTCACACGTGGTTGCTCATTCATGGAGATTTTAAATTTGTCTCTGGGTATTTATATTCTTGTTACTTACGGAAATATTAGACTCTTATTTTCAAATCAGTGCATATATATGAAATTATTTCCAGTGAAAATCTTGCAGAATTAGTGCCTTTGGCCTAGGGAATACTTGTTTGTGTGACTCCTTTTTCTTTTTTTTTTTTTTTCCTAAACTATGTGTAGGAAAACGTGCATTGGTATTTGCTACAAACTTTTGTTGTACTAGTTTGATAAGTGTAATTCATATCTTTGTTCTCTGTGGACTTTGTCATGATCGGCTCTGTTTAGTCGTTAATTCAAAAGAGTGGAAATTTATTAACACTCATGCGCTGTTACTGGTACTACAAGTTTAGTCTTGAGAGCTATGCAGAGTGTTAACTGCAGAGTGCTTCTGTCATGTGTTATGTCTTGAACTAGTTATAGGAGACATTTCTGGGCAAGCCCACTGGACTTGGGCCAAGCCACCTAAAAATACATTTCCTCAGTCCCTCCCACCTTTTTGGATGCTTGCACCTGAAGTGCTCTGTTTAGAGTACCTGAGTAAGCGATCTTCTCCACGGAGGCTTGGGAAATTTGAGAATAATTTGCATGTGGGGTACCTCACATGCTATGCATCCAGTGATGAGTGCGTTTTTTGTTTTGTTTGGTTTCTTTTTTTTTTCCCCCCCTCTGGCAAACGGAGGAGCAGTTCCTTCTGCTTAACCAGTGCTTTGCTTTTCTACTTCAAGTAAAAATTTTTAGACCCTTGGATTGGGCCTTATGAAAGGCCCTGAAAGATGCATGGTTTTCCCACTGATGCTTTGCAGTAGTGAGAACTTAGCATAGGTGTTCATAGTAAAAATTCTTAATAGACAATGTGAGGATGATAATGAAAAATTTCTGTGGCTTGACTTGAACACACAAGGTAAAATCTTAGCCTTGATAGCTGCATAGTGAAAGATTTACCTTGAAGTTCCATTCAACCTCTGCAGTTGTTTTCAGTAGCAGGTTAAGTGTGGTTTTTTTGCTTTATTTACTATTTTTGAGGGGAAGGAGGGGAGAACTTTTGAGATGAGAGAATGACTTTTTCCTCCTTGTCCTATAAAGGCACCATCTGTCTGCCTAACTAAATTACAAATTTTATTTTGAAGTATTGTTTCCTTAACCCAAGGGAATTTGTTTATTTTTTCTTTTCCCCTCCACTGTATATATGGGGCAGAGCCAGGGAATCAAGTGGTGGGAATTCTGCAACTTTGTCTGAATTTTGTGCAAAGGGTTTGCATGCAGAGTTTGCGGGGGGAGTTGTGTTTTTGTTTCACTTTACAACCTCTTCGAGCTGAAGTTTGATAACCAATATTGATATTGCTTGATCTGTGGTGGTGCTTTTATCTATGTACATCCCCTCCTAAGCCACTTTGCCACTTCCCTAGATCTAGATTTAGATAGTGAGACTCATTTAAAACCTATTTTTTTTAAATTGAAATTTTTTGAAATGTGTATGCTTAATTCAAAGCAAAGATGAAACCATAAGATGCACACCTGTGGATAAATTTGATGTTATATTGTATGTGTAGTAGCTGCTTTATACTCGCACAAATTGCCAGCACTTGTGATAGTTGTTCACACAGCAGCCCATCAAGTGGAGTGGAAAAAGTGTGCCAAAAAGTGCCGACTCTAACAGATGCTGGAACAGCTACTTCTTTAGGCATGTAGTAGTCTTGTTTGTTGCTAAGTTAAGCTTTATTGTGCTAGATGATGTGCTGTGAAGAGCAGCTCTTTGAGGGACAAAAAAGGAGAGAGAACAGGCTTTTACTAATGCAATGTACCATAGACCACTGAGACTTGATTTTGAAACTTTTTTTTAAACCAAAAGGGAGTAGTGAGGATATTCTAAGTACATACCTATACTAGTCTAGAGTTTGCTGATGCAATGTATAATCCGTTTGGTTAGTTGTACATCTTGGGCTAAAAGTGAGATGATGCAAACAAGATTTTAAGCCTCTGACTTTTCCTAGCTGTACTTATCAGGCTGGGAAGACAAAGCTTGTACACGCAAACTTTGCCTTGTCACTGCATTACAGGCTTTGCAAAAGGAAATGCAATTTTAGGTTAATCCAAAGCTCAAAATAGCGTTTCTCTTGCAATATGCATTACTCTTTCCTTGTCACTTTCTTCTCTCCCTGTTCTACATGGAATATTCCATTCATTACTGCCTGAGAAATCAGTTGTTTTGCAGTTTGCAAATGCTGAGATGACGTGAGAGGAGTTAGACTTGCTTGTAACCATAACTATTTTTGAACAAGAGCTTCATTTTAGAAATTGTAACCACCTAAGAAAAGCTGACTTGAAATTTTTGGCTGCAAAATAATTTTGCATTGCAGTTCGTCAAATGATTCCCTGTGACTCTCATGTGTTAGGTAATCCTGAAAGAGGAGTATATGAAATAGAGTATGAGGAAGCACTTAACTGGTATGCAATAAGATTTGGTCTCTTTTTTAGGATATTTTCGAGGATAAATGCAGATTTTTCAGGCATAGATAATCAAAACAGGTTAGCCTCTTTTGAAACATAAAGCATTCTTATTTTAGCTTGCTCTTTTCTTTTTTATCTTCCCCCCCCCCCACCACCACCACCTTGTTTCTACCTCTGATTGAATCCAAGGGAGACCTGGCACAGATTCTACTGTTTTGGCTATTTAATAAATGTGTTTTTTCTCATTCTGCTGAGCTGATGTTTAGCTGTGATTGAAAATAAGCATCTTAAATGTTTGGAAAAATACCTGCTATGCTGAAACAATGGATTGCTTATGCATTGTAACAACAAAGGTAAGATGATAAAGCTTTTGATTAATGCCTGTGATCTTGGAAGTTCTTGTTGAATCTTTCTGTTTTTGCCTACCAATAATGAAAATATGATAGTCTTCTAGTGGTGATTTAGGAAAAAAAACCAAACTTTAACTGCACCAATTGCCAAAATAAATGCTGTAGTTGTTGCTAAGAACAGTCATGGATGTTCATTCCTATGTGAGCTAATTATGCCAGTATTTAAAAAGTGCAGTGTAGTAGAATAATCAATTTTTTAACATGAGTCAGTGAGACTCTTCTTTTTAAAAAAAAAAAAAAAAAAAGTCTCTCTAAATGTGTTAAAATAGTAGTTTGCTTTTTAATCTGAAATGCAGAATTCCAAATACTGGTTTGCATAACCTTTATCAGGACAGGTTTAAAATATCCATCCCTAATGGGACTTCCCCAGATTCATCTTTTTCCTCTTTGATGGTTATATTTGAATGTTCTGCAAACTTGATGTATTGCTGCTTAGTGGTGTTACTTCTGTGCTAGGATAAAGCTTCATGCGTGATTATTTAGTCTACTTGTAACTGCTAAAGATGAAATGATTCATAGACTGAAAGTAGATTAGCAGTGTGCCTGGGAAGTATGGATAAAGGTGAGTTTGGTTTTTTGGAAGCTTTTTTTCCTGTAAGTAGTAAACTAGTCTCTGTTGTTCCCTTTCTCCTAGGTATTTACATAGCTGTAAGTTTGAGTCTTTTAAGAAACTACTTCCACTTTTAGCACTTTTTGATCATTTGGAAGCATAAATTGCATACAAACCTCCTTCTCAAAGTAGAATAAAGTTAAACATCTTTGAGAATATTTTGTGGATTTAGTGTTAGCTTTATAAAACAAAAGGTAAAGATGCTTATGCATGTTTAATACCAAGCAGCACAATGGCTAGTAATATAGGTTAATTGGGGTGGTTGAAGTCTCCTTGTCTGTTACCAGCAAAGAATTCTTTCTGATGTTCAGGCTGTTTTTTTCCTGGAAGTAAAATATGCTTTTTAAAAGCAAGTCAGTTGGGGCACTTTTGCCTTGTTTTAGTTAAAATATCTCTAGTACAGTGAGAGCAGGAGCAGACTTTCATTCCTTGACTTTGGTTATGTCAATATATACCTTATGTATACACTTAATTTTGCTGTACTCATTTAAAAAATAAAAAGGAAAAGTAGTGTTCAACTTCAGATTTCTCTTGTGCATTTATTTTTCTTTATCTATTTTTCTTAAAAGCACAAGGATAACTTGTATAGAAAGTTAGGCCAACAAAAAGCATATTCTGGATAAAAAGATAATTATTTTTAGTATTGTCAGCCTGGCCATATGAGTCCTAACACTTAAGGAAGACTGATCACAGAGATGCTGCCTGAGAGAGGAAGAGAAAAGGGATCATCCCTTCCACAAAAGCACAGTCTTAGATTGGCTTAGATTGATCATGCATTTCCACCTGGGGTTATCACTGCTTAATCCTTATTGTCCGATGCCTATGAAGTTTTGGCTTCTTTTAGCTAAATGCTGCTGTAATGCCTTGCAGCCTCAGCTGAAGCTGTTGAAAGTGGAGCTATTAAAGAGACTGTTTCCCTGTAAATGTGTGTATGCTCACGATGAATTGGAAGTCTTAGTCTTAGGAAAAGTACATTCCTTAATGTCATGTATGAATCTACTTTCCTAATATAAAGGAGAACAAATGCACATGACACAAGTACAGCAATTTTGAAATCAGCCTAGAAGAAATATAGGAAATAGGATTAACTTCTTTCTCCAACGTGTGTGGAAGCGTTTTTGAAATAATTCTGTTGCTACTCTATTTCTGAGTAGCAAAGAGAAGAAATTGGTCAGTAAGATGAATTCTCTAATAAATTTGAAAGACCTTTCAGAATTTCGATCTTTATTCTGAATTAAAACAGAATTATAAAGATTTTTCACTTAATGGCAAACAGATCTGTAAACTATTTTCTGTCCTGTCTTTTGAGATCTAACCAGTTTGTCGCACTAATCTAGTGCAAAGAGTACTGATTAATACAGTTTTTTCCCCCTTATGTGGGCACATTTGGTTTGGTGTAGGTAGGCAAATTTGCATCACTGCAACCATGGATACTATTAAGAGCAGGCACGTGGGCTGTGCCTACAGTAATGACTTTTATTTAAGTAACAGTCAATTTTAAATGAGTGCAAGGCACTTAGAATATGAAAAACCTTAAGTTCTTGCAGAAAACCAGCATTTGAGGAGTCATTATTAGCTTGCTTGTTCAGTAGTATATTTTTGGGGAAACAGTTGAATTTAAAGAAATGGTTTAAGGTTTCTGCAAATATTTCTAGTAAAATTGCAATGCAAAAGATTATTTTGAAATGAAAATGGTACAAAACAATGATTTAGCAGCATACTACTTAAACTATGCCTGATCAATGTCTGTCTAGCCCAGTACCTTGTTTCTGACACCTTGCTTAGTGTTAGCTTTTATGAATCAAAAGGTAAAAATGCTTATAGGTCTAGCTAAAAATGGATACTGTGGGAAAGGGGCAAGCATATATGATATATCACCCTAATATGGCAGGAAGATGAAGCTTTTTGCCCCCTAATATGGCAGGAAGATGAAGCTTTTTGCCCCAAGATCTTAAACTTAAAAATCGGTGATCATAAATTCAGGACCATCTTCACTTTCACAGCAGCGTGGCTGTGCGAGGTTGGAGGCCACATAGTGCCTGAACACAGGAGCATAACTGCAGCTCAGGACAGCCAAAGCTTGAAAAGATTGCAGTGAGTCCATGTGATTTCTGCTGATTTCCTGCTCCAGTGTACTGGAGTATTGGCAGTTTTCTGAGTTTCCCTGAACATTACGAGTGAATTGTGAACTGGTAAATCCTCTGGAGGTAAGAGGTGGAGGTGCAAAAGGGAATCATTGAATCACTTGGGTTGGAAGTGATCTACTCCAACCTTCTGCTGAAAGCAGGGTTGACATCAAATTCAGACACGGCTTTGTCCAGCTGGGTGTTGTAAACATGTAAGAACAGAGATTCATCACCTTTCAGCAACCTGTTCCAATGCTTAATCACTTTCATAGTTGAAAACAATTTTTTTGCCTCATATGCATTTAACACCTCCATTCCCTTCCCCAGCCCTATCTCAGCTGGAAAATTGTTTTTTGTCCTCCTGCTGTGCCCCATGATAAAGGGCCAAGCTCTCTTGTCTTGATAGTCTCCCGGTAGATAGTAGAATGCTGCTACCGCCTCCCCACGAAGCTGCCTCTTCTCCAGGCTGAACAAGCCTGTTCCCTGAACCTCTCCTCATTGAGCTGCTCACTGTGTGTTTCACCACTCTAAGGCAGATCAGTGGAAAGTTTTTATTCTTATTGACTATTTATTGCATGTATATATTAAAAAAAAAAAACAAAAAAACTCTGTATATAACTTCTTTTTAAGGGACTTTTCTTAAATTCAGGGTCATCTTTCTCCCAGCAGTCACCAGTTTGACTCAAGGACATCCTCGGCCAAGTATGACTGCTATGTATCTAGGGATGTTTAGGGGTCCTCTCTTATATGGGTTTGTCCAGTCTCACCAGATTCCTGTAAAACACAGGACAAGAGTATAAATCTTCTACAATATTTTTTTCCCATGGCATATCGTATACAGGGCACCTCTAGAGCTATTCTTTGTTTACACATGCTGGCTTGCTCTTCCTAACTAACCACATGCATGCGGGGTTATTTCATTGATTAACCTTGCAGAGTTTCTAATCTGTGTGGTTTCTCAGGCAGAGAGGTATCGGTGAAGTTCTGAATCGTTAGAGTTAAGGTGAATGCTAGAAGAAGCTGGATGGCTGGACTAGCTACATGATGTGTTTATGTGAAGTGGATTGCTCCAGGTCTTAAAGTCTGTGTTTTTCATAGTTACTCTCCCCTTGTTTTAAAAGTAGAGGCTGTCAGTTAATACTACAAATATATGATAAATGAATTTATCTCATTGTTATGTCTGTTCTGGGTGTGTTTAGTTAGGAACTGGCTGAAGAGCTGTATTTAAAAAAAAAAAAAAAAAGGCACCTCTGAAATATCAGTATTTCCAGCAACTGAATTATGATAAGATTTGTTCTCATCAGAGTCAGTAAATTGCATGGTATGAGTATATTTAGGTTGGAGGAGGTGGTGAACACAGCAGTAGGAGACTAGAGAAGTAACTTTCTGAAGTCAATCCCACAAGTAAGATCTCTTTAAAACTAATATGACCCCTGAAAAGTATCTGAAGTGGGAACTAGCTATCATCTAGCTTATCCAGAGTTTCTTCTGCACAGGAGCAATTTTCAGAATTTTGAGGGAATGATCAAATACTTCTCATGTCAGAAGAATGCTTCCTTGCATGTAGGAAAAAATGATTTATAGTAGTATCTTGTCTAGCTGTACTTGCAAATAGTGCAGATGGAAGAAATTATGATTACTATATTGAAATTAGTCTAGGTATATAAATGGAGTCAGGGATGATTTAGGATGCAAGGATTCTTGGGGTAGGGGGTCATCTGGTCCAACACCCTACTCAAAACAAGAATAACTTCCGTGTTAGGACAAGGCTCTGAGTAACCCAGTCTACTTGGTTTGGAATATCTCCAAGGCTGGAGATTACATGGCTTATTTGGGTGACATGTTCCAATGTTTGACTGTCCTCATTGTGAAAATTATTTTTCCTAATACCCAGTTGTAATTTTCCTTGATGCAACTTTTCTGTTGCCCTTTCTGTTTTTGCTGCGCACCTTGGTGAAGTCTGGCTCCACCTTCTCTGTAATCACCCATTAGATAGTTGAAGATGGCACTTGCATCCCTGCCCCCCTTCCCCCCCCACCCCCAACCTTAGCTTTCTTTTTTTTTCCCCCCAGACTGACAAGTTTTATCTTGAAATCAGGTAGGGCAGTTTAAAGTTTAGCAGCTGCTGTGCTGTTTAGTTCTCAATTTCTTGCGTTTTCACAACTCCATGTGCCCTCCCAGATTCGTGTCAGTGTATTTCAGAGGAG